TTTAACTTCTTTGGTGAAGTTTAGTTGCAAAGCAAAACAAATGTCACAACTTTTTCTCAAGGGCTTCTTTAACTTCGGCTAAATATTATCTATCTAGCATACTGAAATATCACAAGTTACAGCATTTTCAGAATTCTCAATGACTTCTTTAATTTCTTTGGTGGAACTTAGTTGCAAGGAAAAACAAATACCACAAGTTTCAGAATTCTCAATAGCTCTTTTAACTTCTTAAAAAATTCTCACAAGTTTCAGCATTCGTAATGACTTCTTTAATTTCTTTGATGAAGTTTCGTTGTAAGGAAAAAAAATTCTCACAAGTTTCAGAATCCTCACTGACTCCTTTAGTTTCTTTGGTGGAATTCAGTTGTAAAGAAAAACAAATATCACAACTTTCAGGATTCTTAATGACTTCTTTAATTTCTTTTGTGAAACTTAGTTGCAAGAAAAAATAAATACCACAAGTTTCAGAATCCTCACTGACTCCTTTAGTTTCTTTGGTGGAATTCAGTTGTAAAGAAAAACAAATATCACAACTTTCAGGATTCTTAATGACTTCTTTAATTTCTTTTGTGAAACTTAGTTGCAAGAAAAAATAAATACCACAAGTTTCAGAATTCTCACTGACTGCTTTAATTTCTTTGGTGAAATTTAGTTGTAAGGAAAAACATATACCACAAGTTTCAGCATTCTTAATGACTTCCTGAATTTCTTTGGTGAAGTTTAGTTGGAAAGCAAAACAAGTGTCGCAAGGTTCAGAATTCTCAATGACTCCTTTAGTTGCTTCGGTGAAATTTAGCTGTAAAGAAAAACAAATATCGCAAGTTTCGGCACTCTGAATGACTCCTTTAATTTCTTTAGTGAAATTTGATGCTAGGTGATGGTGATTCGTGAATTTGATTATAATGGCGCATAAATAAATGCAGAGGCGGTCGAGGTTGTATCACAATGATAGTATGTGATTAAAATGAAAATAGGGAACACTGATAACTGGTAAGAGACAGTGTGCGTATTATATTGTCCGCTGGTTAAAAATGATTGTGTATGCGAAGAAAAGGAGAAACTGTTTTGGAGTTTTGTTTCGTCCGTTGTCCTGACACCGTTATTTTGGAGAATAGCTACCAGAGACTTGTGTTGTGGTTTTGAGAGAAGTGTTTGAACTTTCTGCTTTTTCTAGAATCTCGATAGTTTTTAGAATAACGATGTTGATGCAATAATTCTTGTTCGTGTAGGTAGAAGATCGTTTAGGTCAATACGCTTTGAGTCTTACATCGACATATTTTTTAGACAGTGAAGCGAAAGTTGTTTATTTAATATGGATGCCGATTTGGAAGAAGCTCTCAAATTAGCGAAAGACAAAAGACGTAAAATGCTAGATCATGACTTGCAAAGTCGTCGAATGCAACGTAGTAGTGATGATATAATCGTAAACAATGATGCGGCTGAGTCATCGTTATCTTTTCTACCACATGTCACCAACAATGTTCCATACGGAGTTTCTTTATTAGAATCTACATTATTGGTAGTACCAATATATGAACAAAATTTTGATACTGATTCGGAATATGAATTATTAAAAGTTGAACATGATTCATCAATGAGAGATGAAATCAACAGTGGTACTGAAGAAAATCTAGAAATAGATGACGAAAATATTATCGATAATAATATAGCTATAATGGTTCCATTTCCAACAAATGTATCAGGTGATAATGATAATAGGCCATCTATTCCCCAACAACGTTTACATAATTATACAAATATTTTAACATTTGGTTATTGTGAAGATTTACTAACCGTTTTACGTAATGCGCATGTATCTAAATCCCAATCAGATCACATTATAAAATTAATTAAATCTGCATTACCCATACCAAATAATCTTCCAAATACCTTAAAAGGTATTTTGTCTGAAACTAATATTAATGATATTTTTACCAAACGAAGTGTATGTACAGTATGTCAAACGGATTTACTTTATACAGAAACAACATGTCCAAAATGTATATTGTCTGATGTTAAGTCTATTGCACATGTTTATGACACACAGTTAAATGTAACATTGTTAGCAATGCTTACACGTTTAGCATCTGATATTACAACATATAAACAGGAAATAATAAACAATCAGAATAATGATGACAAAAATGATATACCATTTAATCGGCTATATCAGTCATTACTACAAGCGAATAAACAACGCAACTTTATAAGTTTTTTGTGTCATCTTGATGGTGTATCACTATGCAAGTCTACAAAACTGAAGATGTGGTTATTCAGTTCGTCATTAATAGAATTACCACCACAACTGAGATATCGCCGCTACAATATGCTGTTATTATCCGTATGGATTGGCTATGTGGAGCCACAACCTAAAACGTGGCTTAGGCGTGCTATAAGCACATTGAGAAATATGAAAAGAACAGGTTTGTTTCTTATGTTTTTGAGAAGCAAGTTTCTTTACGAGAAGGATGATCATAAGCAAAAAATGACTATACTGCACAGTGGGCAATTTTCTATAGAGCAAACGGACATGCACTTTTTTTCGTCGAAAAATATTTTAAATCACTCCCCTCAACTCCCTGAGTATACCAAAAATTGAAAAAATCGTTTTCGATGAGAAAAGTTTTTTGTCGAAAAAATTGATTTTTTCAC